ACCGCACAATCTACTGTCTATACCTTGGAGTAACTGTCTATACCCCCACTTTTGTCAACGCCATCAAGGCAGATTTGCTCATCTCAATTTCTAGAAAGTTTTTAAAAACATCTTTTAGCAGGTAAGTAGACAGGCTCGCTCAGTTGATGTATTGAGAAAGGAGGAGAGGGAGAGGGGGCATAAAAATATTTCGGCATAAAGTAAAACAATTATGTAACTCACGAACCTGCAGATGATAAGTTGAAAACTAGATCTAGCAATATTTTAGTTAGTGTACACCCCCTACCCCTTACCCTGCCCCCCTCCCCCCAAAACAAAAACAAAACAACAACAAAAAAAAAAAACAACCCCAAAACAAACCCAATAAACAAACTCTTCCCTAACCTTTTCAGATTAATTTCATTTTGCTGCTCAACATTCTGCGTATCCTTCTGTCTAAGATCAGGGCGTTCAACAGCGCTGAACACAACCAGAACAGGTAGGTGTCGTGCTAACATTAACACTACATTTTACGGTCTATCGGCTTGGCTTTACTCAATTATAATTATTGACTGTTCTTGGAAATATTGGGGACCTGTGCTGTTTTTATCTTTGTTGGTAATTCTTTTATATTTACCTCATTTGGATACTTTGTTAAGTGTGTTTTTTACTCCTCTATTTTTCGTTTTCTGTGGACAAATTAAAAAAGTGAACATGGAGTATTTTTTCTACTCCATTCTTTGATATTTCCCAAGAAGTCTGTCTTGGGTCTACCTCTCCCAATCCAACAAGATGGTAGCTTAATGAGTACCAGGCTAATCTTCCTTGACCCCAGAGGGGCTATTTTTAAACACGTATTGTCCTTAATCTTAAGCAATTCTCATGGACACTCACCTACTGTGCTCGGTCCTACCTTGGTGGGACGATGAAAGCTGAAGGGTTTGAATTTAACTGATTTCACCACATTGGTCTTCACTCTTCACGGGTCACTCCTTTCATTAGTTTCACTCAGATGTTTGCATGGCATGAGTCTGAAAGAGAGCCTGAAATGAACTGGGATCAGAAAACAACGTCTCTTCTGGTGTTTGCTTTTACATTTTTTAAAATCTAAATTTAGCTCCGAAAAGTAGCGTATACAACTGTGATTGTCATTCTGGTCAGTTGTTCTTAGAGTTGTATTAAATGCTGGCTTGATCGCATCTGATTCGAATTCCATAGAACAACATGCAATTGTGTTTCTTCGTAAATTTGATATGACCACGATTTTTAAGGGACGTGGCTCAGGGCAGCTAACTTTCGAGGGCTGAAACGATTGAGATTGGGTGTTTCTTTTTCAAAAGAACAATGGTACTGTGGGGCGAAGAACAGATGTTATTATCGCAGAGATCATGTTTTACGCTTGCTGAGCCTGCGTGCATCCATCAGTTTAATTTCCATCTCCAACCTGATTTTGCAGACTCCACTCGTTGGACAAGTGTGGCCGTTACTTAAAGCAAACCAATCAGTGATGCACTGCAGAATATAAACTTTATCTCGAGCTTCAAATTCGAGTATTGTCTGAATTATCAAGCAATCCTTGTAAGAATAGTACTTTCCTGTCCGATTTTCTGGGGCAGGAGAAAGAAGAGAAAGAACGTAATCTACGAAATGGTCTACATTATGACTAACAGGGAGTTAAACCGGAGACAAAAAGAAGTAGTCATCTCCGGTTAAACTTCCACAACAACGTCTCAAAGCAATCTAAAACAATAGCCATTCTTTATTTGCAGGCGTGCTGTAAAGGCAGTTCTGATCCTGATCCCTTTGCTAGGCCTACAGAACATGCTGACCCTGATCAAACCACCCATGGATAAGGAAGCAGTCATGGCCTGGGAAATGCTGTCCGCCATTCTCGTTTCTTATCAGGTCTGAGTTTTACGAGTACTGACGAACCATTCTAGTAAATCGTGATATTTATAACATAGTTTATTCATTCTCTTATTTATAATTTGTTCACTCATTCGTTCACTTTCTTATTCTAATGTTCATAACTGTTCACTCAACCAGCACTCACTGGCTCACCCACTTGTTTGATTCCTCTTTGTCTCGCTTGTCTACTCGGTCGCTCACGTAGACACACTAATTTACTTACTCTTACTATCCACTTACTCTTTCAAAACTCTTTAGCTTTCAAGAGATTGCCCATGGCTATATCAAACAGGCTTTCCACTCGTGCAGTGTGACAATTATGAATTATGATTCAACAAATGTATTTTGTTTGTCTGCTGATCACATTTTCAGACATTTAAACAGTTTTAAAACAATCTTAACTTGTTTTCCCCTCAGGGTGCAGCTGTGGCTCTGATCTTTTGCTTCTTCAATGGTGAGGTAAGTGGCAAATTGATCCGGTCTTTAAGCTGGAATTTGTACCGTCATCGTGAGGCACACATACTATCAGGAACTAAAACTGACCAGCAAATGGACCACGTACACACACATTGGAATCTTTTAAAATATCGTTCTTAGCCAGCACTTGGAAACA